AGAATATGTGGGAAATAGCTGTTGAAGGAACTTCTGAACCTGGTTATTGTTTTACTGTTTGCTGAACCTTACCAGATTCATGTTGTTGTCAGAAAGAATATTTTGTTGATATTTTATCACCTTGAAACACTGAACTAAATATTAACGTACAAAAATAATCTTGATGTATGTAATTCAGGTGGGTGTAACGTCACCAAGAACAATGAAATTATTACCAGCTGGTGAAAAAAAAAGCTGTCAAAAGGTAAGATTTCAGTTCCAAAACTTGTGTGTGCATTTGTAAAACTAAAGACAACCTTATTATTATGTAACATGTTAAGTGATTTTTTTCAGGCACAGACCAACTATATATTCTGAATATTTATATTCCAATAGAATACTTAGTAGATAAACTCCTGGTTGATGGTTTAAATAGTTTTAGCTCTTGGTATGTTTGGGACATATTAAACTTATCTCTGGAAATTATATTTATCAAGTTCTTATAACTTCATTGTCAGCTAACTTCAGCAACAACTTACCAAACTTTCAGTACTCAAAACACTTAACTATTATATTGACACAACTTAGCTTTTTATTCTGGTAATACATTTCATGGTTTATACTGAAATTGTCCAATATATTTTTATTAGAATATAGGTATTACTGTAGTCAACAAGTTTGTTCATCAGCCTCTCTGTTGTTTTTTAATATTATTATCCAAATTACAGTGGTTGATGTCTTGCATCCTGGACATTTTTCTATTTAAATCATTTGTACACAAATGAACTGACTGAAAGTTAAATCTGGTGTATTACCTGATATAAATTAATGTGTTATGTAAAGTTAAATCTGGTGTATTACCTGATATAAATTAATGTGTTATGTAAAGATAAATCTGATGTATTACCTGATATAAATTAATGTGTTATGTAAAGATAAATCTGATGTATTACCTGATATAAATTAATGTGTTATGTAAAGAAAGTTTGGAGAAGTTTTTACAATTTCTGACAGTTTTATGTTTATAAGATAAATAAAAAATTGGGAATTTCACAACCTGCAAATAGGAATAGGAAATAAAGTAAGGCTGGAGATACTGTAGACATTATTTATATAAAATGCTCTTTGATATAGCACCTACATAGTACAGTATGATTTCCATGTTGGTCAATAAATGATGAAGATTGTTTTAGAGTACAGGAATGACATCGTTTTGTCTTCTCATATTTGGCTAGGTTGTAGTGGCAGATCATCAAGGGATTCTTCAGTGTTTTGGAATAAAACGAGGAGATGTTCAGGCAAGCAGTTAATTTTTCTGGGACTTTATGTAAATTTTCTTATCATAAAGGTATTTAGCTTTTCCTTCTTGTATGATTTTAACTTTCAAGGTAACAGCTTATACAAATACTGAAAAAACAAACTTGATTTCTGTATCCAAAAGATTTGTAATATAATACTACAGAAGGTTAGTTAAATACTTTTTGTATGTGAGTGGAAAAGAAAGTTTTATGTCATATGTTTTGTTTTTACCAGCTGGTGAAACGATGTGTTGTTTAAGTTTTATGTAATAAATTTAAAATTGGTGTATCTTGCTCAAAGTTAGTATTTATAGGTGTTGAGATACACCTTGAAAAGTAAACTCAAGTCTTGATGAAAAATGATTTGGTTGAATTTGAAGTTCTTGGAAAAAATTTTTTAAACCAAAGTTGCCAAATCTGTATGGACCTTTTAAATAACTGAAGTCATTATCAAAAGAAGGTTTTTACCATTGTTTAACTTCTGAAGTCATTATTAAAACGTGGCTTTACCATTGTTTAACTTCTGAAATCATTATTAAAACGAGGCTTTACCATTGTTTAACTTCTGAAATCATTATTAAAACGAGGCTTTACCATTGTTTAACTTCTGAAGTCATTATTAAAACGTGGCTTTACCATTGTTTAACTTCTGAAGTCATTATTAAAACGAGGCTTTACCATTGTTTAACTTCTGAAGTCATTATTAAAACGAGGCTTTACCATTGTTTAACTTCTGAAATCATTATTAAAACGAGGCTTTACCATTGTTTAACTTCTGAAGTCATTATTAAAACGTGGCTTTACCATTGTTTAACTTCTGAAGTCATTATTAAAATAGAGGCTTTACCATTGTTTAACTTCTGAAGTCATATTAAAACAAGGCTTTACCATCGTTTAACTTCTGGTGTAAATCAGTAATCGGAATGATAGAGCTAGGTGATTAGTGGCATTGGATAGTTGATTAAACATCAGGCTCATTAATTGATTTCAATCAACTGATTTATTATTCTCACATGAGACTTGGAATATTCAAAAATAGTATTAGGTTGTCAAGAAATTAATTTCGCGTTTTGGAATAGCAAACTGTCAATGCAGAGATCTATAGTCAGCAACTGGAATGTTTCAATCAAGCCCTTCATAAGAAATGCCATTCACTCGTCAATCGCAAAGGTGTTCTTTTCTCCACGACAATGCACGTCCTCTCACCATATTCTCCAGATATGGCACTGTCAGATTACCATCTTTTTTGTTCTCCGCAACACCATCTTAATGGGAAAACGTATGCAAATGTGGAATGTGTTAAAGAGGGTTTTTTTCATCTAAAAAAAAGTGACATCAATTTTTTGATGACCTAATAATAATCAGAAACCCTAAATTAATTGTTGATTATTTTTGTAAGTCATCACATCAGTCAGTTCAGCTGAACAAAGCTGAATTAATTTAAAATAATAATATTCCTATTCTGTTAACACTAAACAATGTCATGGTATATTAGTAAGCAGATGTTCCTATTCTGTTAACACTAAACAATGTCATGGTATATTAGTAAGCAGGTGTTGATAAATATGTGTTGCTGGTTAGATGAAGTATTAACTTTGTTTGGTTATTGATTTCAGAACATTGTTGTTTGTGTGTGTGTGTGTGTGTTAAAGTGAAAAGTAATTTATGTATTTCTTTTAGCTGGCATTGTGTATTTTTAACATTGTGTATTTTTAACAAATGCATATGATAGATTTTTTTTGATTTTTTTAGAATATCTTTAAAACGTTGCCAGGACAGAAAGTTACCAGGTTAGAACTTGGAGGAGCTGCGGGAACTGTTCGGGATAAGATATTTATTGCTGCTGGAAATAATATCCGAGGTTTCAACAGGAAGGGGAAGCAGTTTCTGAGTTTTGAAACCAACATGACAGAAAGCATAATGTCAATGTAAGTTGTTAAAATCTTCTGATTGCTTCATGATCTTATATTGAAAATTCAAATTACTTCATTATGAACAAGGTTTTAAAAATGTAACAATTGAGATCTTTATATTTGTGCACCAACAATGATTTTTAATTGTGGAAGAAGCATTGTGGTGTTGGAAGATTATAACACCAGTAAGTTAACCGTGTGATCTTATTCAAACATGATAAAAAGCTTAATGTTGCTCAAAGACTCAGCTTGGACTAGTTCAGCAGGGAGGATTTTTACTTACAAGCCATCTTGATGTAAATAATATTGACAGAGTCTACATTATAGTTACATGAAATGGTACTTGTAGAATAAAACAAAACAAAACAGAAGATGACCAAGTTAGTGTTTGTCACTAATCAGTGTATTAATTTGGATGAAGGAAAGTTTCATTGCTTTTTCAAATTTAAACCATGAATTACTTGTGAATTGTGTTTTGTTCTTCACCTGTGGCCTTGTAGGGTTGTTATGATTAACTTACTGACTCATGAATTCCCTGAGAAAGTTATAAACTAATATTCTTTGAGTCCTGTAAAACAGTTCACTTCGACATAAGTGTTAGCTAATAATGGCTGGAGACGGCTTAAATGGGTAATGAAGAAAAACTTTA